TGCATTTCACTCATTTTCTTACATAATTTTCCCTTTTTCAGACTGAATGTCATTTCCTGCAACAAAACAACATGTCACTTCCCTTAACAAATGTTGTTTTGCTAACATTTATGTTGTATGCTTAGGAAATGTCATTTCACAATTCCTCAACAATGTCACTTCCATAGAAAATGTCACTTCCATAGTACGGTAAATGTCACTTAATCCAAAAATGTCATATTAATATGATAATGTCACTTTGTCTGAGTTAAGGTCCATTTTATCACATCATGTCCTAGTTAATATCACTTTAATTTCTTTCAATGTCCTTACTTCAAACAACATCAATTCATCTTGTTTAAAAAGACTACTTCACTATTGTATGTCACTGTTTAAAAACTTCATTAATTGTCAATGCTTTATGTAATGTCATTTGAACACTTTCTTACATATGTCAAGGATAACATAACATTGATAGTGTCACAAAAGTATTCCCTTAAACAATGCAATTTGTCTAAAACAATGTCAATTTGTAAAACAATGTCACTTTTCTCAAGCAATGTCACTTTCTCCAAACTATGTCACATTCCTAAAACAATGTCACTTTTCTAAAACAGTGTCACTTTTCTCAAACAATGTCACTTTTCACATTGTCTAAGTGCCTATATAATATATTCCGATGTCACTTTCCAAGTCTTTGCCTTGAATACAGAGAATTTCGATATCAAATAAATCCTAGTTTAGATCACTTTTTAAATGTGTATTATTTTATAACTACTTATCACACAAGTTAACATGCATTGACAATATAATATTTGTTTTTTGTATTCAATCATCTGAAATATCAAATAAAATGCTATACTCAATGTGACAAGATATTCAACTATGTATATAAATTTCTGCTATAGATAAAAATTCACTCCTTTTTCTAAGAATAACCAATAATATCTGCGGAATATTCATTTTCATGTGCCCGTCAAGTGCTAATATGTCACTAAGTGTATAAAATGGCCTCATATGGCGATTGACAAGTTTAATATTATACTTAGCACATCTTTTAAAAAATTTGCTCCTATGAAAAAGATTTCAGATAAGTTTTCTATATTCTTCAGTGGGATCAGATTGAATGAAAGTTTAGAAAATTAATTTTCAATTTGTTACATAATGTAAACTGTCAAAATGATAATATTATCATAATGTGTCACACTTTGTAACCCACAATCAAAACTATAAAAATACAATGTACAGATTATAAAAATTTTGTTATTCCATAGAAATTAGTTTAAATATTATCTTAAAAAGGTTTAAGTCTCACTCAAATTAAGATAATAATCCAAAGCTCAGAAAGTCATGTATCATCTAAGAAAAAGTAAAATAATAGTTCTTGGCATACTGGCAGTGTGCTTAGAATTATGAAGTAATCTTGAATGTATAATTTTATCATATAAAATATTTACCGTCAATTACACGTAATATCATAATGTTAATACCATGATTAAGAAAGTAACCAGTGCACAGAGTACATTATTTTAACCTTTACCACCCTAAAATATCTAAAATAGACTTGTCCATCTTTTAATCTTGACCAAACCATTCATCATTTTTAGGGGAAAATTCAAAATATGTAATAAATGAAAAGCAAAACAGTGCAGACCATGATCAGAAGGTACTAAACTGACGGCTAATTTTGGTCTACACTGGTTGCACGGCATGATGGATAGATTCAGTCATTGCTCGCAGGGTATGATTAAAATACGCTTTCCAGAATTAATGAATTATTTAACCAATTAATATATGTAAATTAAAAGACACAAGAACTTTTTCTGAGGAATTGATAAATTGCGTGAACCAAGGAAGCGAATATAAAACCTATCTGTTTTGTCTAGACCGTAATGAAATAAATCAGTAACGCAACTCGTGGAGAAGCCAAACAACTATTCACCATGGAAATTACATTTTTGCTTTAATTTGTAACAAATCTTATTTTAGATCATGCAATGATTTATTGTTGGTTTTATTAGACTTTAAAATTCTCTCAGATTATCTTTTGGTTTCCCCGACTGACATACAGGAAGCGCAAACCGGTAGGTATTATCCACTTGCTTTATAATTATATAATAATAATATTTTTACAGTTTTTTACCATAATTTATATTCTTCAAACATTAATTTGAAATCTTCAGAATCTTGTTTTAGCCCTTGCCATACTATTCTTAAATATCTTAAATGGATATGTAGATCTTTCAATATGGACAAAACCATTCATCATTTTTACTAGAAAATTTCATTTAAAAGTTATAACTGACTTACTAACAGCAACCAGAGCAGACAATGATTCACAACTTATAAAACTATCATTCATTAATATATGGATGAAATATTATTTGTCCAACAGACAAAATTCTTTTTTTTATTATAGTGCTCTATCAATAAAAAATTATTTGAATTTTCATTACACACAATTTTCATATATTATAATCATTGCAGTGAAGAGATAAGCAGTAATTTCTTTATGTTACAAAACACTACATCAATTTTATCGTTTTATACTACACACACTTTAAACCGAAAATGATGTGTGCAAATGCATTAATGCTTTATTATATTGATAGCTGATTCTTGTGATGAAAGTTCATTTTTATTCTAGACAAGAAGCAAAATAATTATCCTTGAGTCTCATAACACATTTTTTTTAAATTCCAATTACTTTTACCATTCTATCATAAAGCTAACTCTTAATTACTTTTTAATATTAAATGATTTCATCAATTAATCCATTTACCCCAAATTTCCTGTCTCGCAGTTAATGTAAAACACTTTTTACTGTTTAATTTCCACCTTTTTTTTCCAATCACAACTTTGTATACATTGCTATGGAAACACAATCCAGACAAAAAACGCCACTAGATTTCACTTCAAGACAACACTCCAACAATTGTCAACTAACTCCGAGTCAGCAATTCCCCTAAGCTCCTTTAAAAAATCCCTTAATTAAGGTTCACATCCAGTTCACCAATAGAAACCCAAAGCACTTAAAACTCATAAACGAACCCAATTCTCCAATAATTCAATAACTCCCATGTCTCTATTTTAAACTGAACCAGTCTCATTTTTCATTTCCTTAAAATCCTTTGTCCTTCGAACAGTACACCAGTCCATTTATGACGACACGTGTTTTCATCATCAGCGAGTCCCGACTGTCATCCCAGCATCAAGTGTGCATTTGTACGCTCCCATTCATTTCTCCATTCTTACTAAAATTCACGCTTAATTGAACAAAATTACAATTATTGGGAAAACTTAAAAAATCTGGAAATCTGGTTTAAAAAAAAAGCGTGTGATTTTTTCACCCCTATGAACAACAAATGAATTATAATTGTGAGAAAATTACTATAGATTTATAACTTTTGGTCCATTTCTAACGCAGAATCAATATGATAGTTAACTTCATTAGTTTTTAGCCTTAACTTCTGAAGAGTAACACAATGAAAAATAAATCACATTTCAAAGATCTTTGTTAAAATCTAACTCTGGGAAAAAAGTAACTAAATGACATTCCTTTGTCAAGAAATGTTTGTCATGATTTAATGTTGATAGTGCTGTTTTCTAAACAAACCTTGAAGCGCAAGTTCTAAATTTGTGACCTCCATCTTCGAACATTCAGATTATTCTTATTATTATTCCATTTTATCTTTAATGTTCATGAATGAATACATGAAACCAATATAATTATTCAAATTGTTTAGTGACCCTCATCTTTCTAAAATCTAAAAAAAATCCTAAATGCGAACAGGCACATGTATGTTTTAAAAACAACTTTATTTTGTATCTATATCAGTATTAATAAATTTAAGATTCGATGTACTGTACAAATTAATCAATATCTAAATGTACTTTTTTTAAGAATTTATTAACGACTTTGTACTCTGTACAGTAATAAATATCTAATTGAACATTTAAGGGCTAAACAGATGTACCCTTTTACTAATGACCAATTTGAAAGTTTTGATGTTCCCTACCAATTGATAATTATTGTCACAATAATTATTACTCTTTCATATATATTTGTCTATCAATTGTTCTACAGTGACACAGATTTCCACGTCTTTTCACCAACAAGAAATAATATCAGTTTTACAACCGTCTGTTATTTTAATACGTCTGACATCTAATACCATATGTTGCCGCCATAATTACAGAAAACCTTTTGTGGATAATATTTCTGCAGTAATGGTACATAAAACAAAGAAACGATCTGATTTTTATTTAAATTCTCATGACTCATACCACATGTAAGACTCGTTAATGCACAACAATGCATGTGACACAACGGTTGCAGTTAATCCTTGAGATTAAATTTCTCTACAATCCCAGCATAAGAAAAAATTCTGACAAGGGAGGTAAGCCATGTAGTCAAATTTACACTGCAAATCTTGAAATAGTATATGAAGAGTATTTTCCCTTGGCTGTTAGTCTGTTACAGCAATGATCTCAGTCCATATACAATGCACTTTGTATGTTATTTAAGACCATTGAATAAAAAAAAATCAAAGAAACTACATGTGCTGTGCATCATCCCTTCACTACAAATTTATTGCAAAACACAGATAAGCTGGGTTACAAAAAATATATTTTTTTGTTGTAATTAAATATTCATCTGCATGGGTATATTTATATGTAATGGTATACAAGCTCTTTAACACTGACATCTCACATATTGAACATGTTTTCTTATTTTTCACTTTCAACATCACTTTGGTATAGAAAACAGGGACTGTAACCAAAGTTGAACATTCAATCATTAAAAGCTCTATAAACTCACATAATATTATGGGTAATTTATTAAACAATAGCTGAAAGAGCAAAACAAAACAGAAAACAACCAAATTTCAAATCATACCACTATGGACATACACGCTATCAGGTCAGGCAGTCTATGTTTAATGGAGGTCCATCCGCCCTTTCAGGCACAGAGAGTATGGACCTATTGAATTCAAAGAAGTTTTTATAACAAAACTTACCCCTTGATGGCGGTCATGTGATTTGGAACGTGTAATTTCCCGCTGCAGACGAGAGACTGCCATTTTACTCTGGCGCGCGACCTGTCTTTCCTCCGCTAGCTGACGACTAAGATCTTCGATCTTTCTCTCCAGTACATCCTGAAAAATTATAAAATTACATAAATAGATGCATATATTTTGATATTTGGACTATAAACCACTGTAAAATATTCCTATCTGAATATTGGTAATTCTATGTATAGTAAAACACAGCTGTATAAGGTCATATAACAATTTTGGACAAGAAATATATTAAGGTTTTACCAAAAAATGGGCAATCCTAGGGTAACATAAAACATACTACCTAATTTTAGAATTATTTTTGTTGCATATTTGTGTGTTTTATATGCATATGCATGTTGATGTACCTAATGAGAGAATATTTTATGTGTGTATGTAACTATAGTTCCCTGAATAAATTGATATGAAATAACTAGAAGAGGTATGTTGACATCATTATATTATTCATATCCAAATATTGATTTGTTCCCAGCATTAGTTTAAACTTTGATTTTTCAATCCTTGTTCCAGGTTTGACTTGATTCATTATTATTTTTCTCGTCAAAATCTGAAAATCTTGAAAATATCAGGAAAATCAGGGCACATGTCACTTTAAACTATTATTTTTCATATTTTCATTTTCTATTCTTGTACATTTACAGCAGTCATTAAAAAACATAATATATGCTTTACAATCAATAAGTATTAAAAACAATGTTTCTCAAAACACTTCCTTTTAATTAAATCAATTAAACAGCTGTTTTAATTAATAAAATAAAGTATGTTGCAACCTGCCACCTTGTTGCATACCACCCAGTGTTTAAAATAATCATTTTAAAGTTAATATATTGTAAAATATTAAATCTCTAAACTATTTAAATCGCTTAAACCAAAATATACAGCAGTCATTTGGGTGATAAAATATAATTGCCCACACAAAGTAATAAAATTTCAAGCTAATTAAAATCTCCTCAATAAAACCATGTAATCATGTAATTCAATCAAAGCATGAAATTTTTAAGGATGACCTTTTGATGTTAAGGTCAAATTATTATGGCTTTATAAATATTCATGAATTTATTGTTAATTGTATTTTTTCAACCATTCCTTTTAGTAAAATAATGACTTAACAAAGTTATATAATATAACAGTGTTACTAAGTAAGTATCAAGTGGCAGTAATTAATGTATCGTAAATTATTTTAAAAATGATACTTTTTATTGATGTTTTATAAATTCAATAAAATATGAACCAATTTATTTAGCTTTAGTATATATAATGAAGCAAAGGTAATACAAAGGTAATGAAACTCAAATACTTAGTAGTTATAACCATGATTTAAAGTCAAGACAATAAAAAATGTCAGATATGAATGGGTTTTACTTTCTACTTAACAAACTACAACAAAATAATTGGAGACAAGACCTGTCCCCAGAAAACTGTTTTTAAAACACTCAACTTATTCCAATGCTGGAAAAAGTAATAAGAGTAAAATAGAATAAAAACATTCTGATATAATGACTAATTTTAAGTTTTGCTATTAAAAGTGAAAGTGACCTTGACCTTTTTATCTTGACCTTTGACCTTTTTATTAAAAATGAGTATGGTTGGTAGGACTCACCAATTAAGGTGTATTTACTAACAAAATTTGAAATTCCCTGGTCAATTTACTTTGATTTAATGACCTATTTCAGCTACTTAGTGACTTTTGACCTAATAAAAATTGATGGATGTGACAGTTAGAATTCATCAAGGTGCATCCACATATTAAGTTTCAATGTAAGATCATTTTGTATTGAAGTTGATGCCCATAAAAATGTTATGATACATAGCAAAAAATCATTTAACTAACACAAATGCAGCCAAGTGGTTTCTGCCTCTCAACCCAGGGACTATGGATCTGAATTTTGGGGTCACAACCATATTTTCCTCGTAATGTCAGCAGTACTAGGTGAGTCTAGAATGTTAGATTTAAATATTATTTAGCTAAAACCATTCATTACAACAGCTTAATGCACGGAAGGGCACCTGAGGTCTTCCTCCACCAGTAAAGCTGAAACATCGCCAAATGACTTATATTGTGTCCAAATGACCTATATTGTGTCTGTGTGACATAAAACCCAATCAAACAAACAAAACAACAGCTTAAATGAATATGTTTAATCAAACTTAAGATAACATAACTTTTTTTTCCTTGAAATAATGATGTTAAAGATACCCTTCATCCACCCACCCATTCCTTTTCAGATACCATGTTTCTTGTAAAGTGATCATTTAGTTTGATTTGTTTTATATTATTGTGAAATTTTTGCCATATTTTTACTTTGATACAACATCCCTCATTCCATCATTTTGTGAATCATTATTACCCTTGTTTGTTGGTTGCTTAAATATTTCATTTCTGCCTTTTTTTTGTTGGTTACTCAGATCTCACCAGAAGAAGTCAAAATACCTAAAAGCTGTTGACAGCTCTGGACCATTCACTGCATAGCTATAACGCCAATGACATCAAATATGTCCTTCTTATTTCTCGCTCTCAACAACGAGCACATCATTGGGTTGACTTGATAACTGGGTAATTGTGTTACACAACTAAAGATGATTATCGCATTAACCGAAATTCTGTGTCGCTTATTAAAGGACGGAAAAATCCTTAAAAAGGAATGAATTTATCCCTTAATCCCCATTAAACAGCCCTATTTTCCGTTGTCTACAACAGCTTGCCTTTTATTCATAATCGTACCTCAAAAAAATTGTGAACGCAACAAAAACTCACAGCTACCACGGCAACAGACGGTTTCTCGAAACAAAGGAAAACATTCCAAGTATTTAATCAGTCGTAAAATATTACATTCCAAACACAAAACACAGCTGATTTTCATAAAACAGTAATAAAATGAAGAATTTGTCATCTGTCTTTCAAGATAAACTGTTACATTGTAGTATATAAATAAACAGAGAGTTAGTGTTTGACTTACTTTTCTATATGCTGTACATATATGATTGCTACCATATTAATAATTAAGGTATTCACTCCATCATAGCCTTTAATGTATTAAATTAAACAGACTTTATAAATATTCGGTAAATTATAATATTTATAAAGAAGTAGTTAACAAAATAACAGACCATTTTGCTGCTTTCCGGATGATTGTCATGTCTTCGAACAATGATAAAACTATGAAAAGCCAAAGATGTCAAAATTGTCACTTATGTATAAGATAGTCAAATGACTTTTAAGGTTTATGCTGTCAGAAATAATCATAGTTATCCAATATTTTTATTTGTAAAAAAGTAACAAGTATATCCAAATAAGATAAAAGCAATGATCTAATTAAAGGTAGCCGGTCTCCCTTCAAACATAGGGACAGTGAGTTTGAACCCTTCTGTAGTCAAGACTATTTTTCTCCATATGACTGCAAGACTGGGCAGTAAGGAGTAAATCAAATAAGTTTCAAGTCTTCATTGCAAGCAAATGTAAACTCTTCTATAAAGCTGTCCCTGTGATTTCCCAATTCTAAAGAGTAACTTTTATTCCCCCTTTTTTTTGGACTAAGGTGTTGTTGGGGGCTAATTCAATTTATTCTACATTAAATTTTGACCATTAAAAAAAGGAAAGGGGATTCCAATTTCATAGGAATCTGTTAGTAGCCCAGTCAGGCTTAATGTTTGATCTATAAATTCAAAAGTTGGCCTTTGAATAAGGTAAACAATATATAATTCAAATAATTTTGTTACAAATAATTTGGAAATTATATTTACCGTCAGTTCATCCATTCTTGATTTTATCCGCTTTTTTTCAAAACAAATATTATTCGCACTTTAAGTTGTTTGTATTTATTTATTCACATTTTGTTCATTTTAATTAATTAAACCTATGTCCATTTTTACTTATTCACACTTTGTTCATTTTCATTTATTCACACTTTTATCATTTTATTTATTCACACTTTGTTCCTCTTTTTTATTATATTCACACTTTTTTCATTTGTTTTGTTTTCACACTTTGTTCATTTTTATTTTATTCACTTTGTTCATTTTTTTTTATAATTAAATGAAAATCCAACATATAATTTTATAATCATTATTGAATTCATTTTTCGGAGTCTTATTAAATTTTACCTGTTTAGTTTTTTTTCAGAAATATCATTTTCATATTTCCCTTTTAATTTCATTTATAATCCAACAACTTTTCTCTGTCAAGTAACTTTCATACTACCTACTGCCCAATCAAAAAGGTCGATCAATTTTTATTAACTCCAATCACCAATTGACATAATTTACAATGTACAAAGTATACAAACTCAACAACTTTTTTATCGACAAAACTTCAAACAGCTGATTGAAAAAACGTATTGTTTAAAAGACCATAGAATTGATAACTCCGTATAACATGTCAGTAACATTGACTTTAAATATATTGAAAGAATACAGGCAACGTTCGATACTTAAGCTTAACTATAAACTGGAGCGAATCCAATAAAATTAACAGATTTGTCTTTCTGTAAAAACTTTAAAATTGACACCTTAATTTAACATTTTGCCTAGTTGAATCATTCAGTTCTAACTCAACATGAAGTATAATTTGATCCCATGTTTTTAAATCTCCGAAAACAAAACGGCTCTTTCACGGGCCCATTTTAGCGAACTCGCCTTGGCGATATTCGATACGTATTTAAAAACCTTAATAAGTAGTAAAATCAACATTATTAATTTCTTCAGCATATTCAATTCCCTTGATAATAATGATACAAAATACTTAAAATACTGCGTTAATGTAACATATTCAGACTAACCAAGAAATATGATCGTAAAATTAAAGTAGCAATTGATTTCTAATTAATCCTATGTAATAATTTTACTAAAATATGCGTAACATAATAATTTCAACTTGAGTCAGCTCGATTTTCAAATTTGACACGACGACATGAAATATTCAAAATTTCATTCATAAAAATTTACATGTAACAAAAAGCCGTCTAAATCTGTTACATTTTATAGATGTTAAAGAGGGCATAACTTCAACTGATGTGTTGATGATGCTTAAAAGTGGGTCATGACCTTATAGAGTATAATTTATATATAGGTCAAAGTAATCC